TCATGGATTCCAGCAATGATGAGGCACTCGATATCATTATCACCAATGTGGTGGCCACATTCAGGGTCAGGTGCCACCTCAACCTGCGCACCATCGCCTTAGAGGGGAACAATGTCATCTATAAGCCGGATTGTGGGGTAAGGAAGTGGATGAATGCAAATAAATTCTTATTAAGAGATTCAAATAATAGCTTGATTTTCTTTTGATTATGTACAGTGCATTTATCATGATTCTTGTTGGCTGCATTCAAATGTTAACACTTTCTTTTTTAGAAAGTCCTGATGAAGCTTCGTAAACCCAAGATAACAGCCTCAATCTGGTCCTCAGGGAAAATCATCTGCACAGGAGCCACAAGGTAGACACTCTACACATAAAACACAAACCATGAACTCCTGTGAAGTCTGCGAATAAAATCTGCAACTGCTCATAACAAATCGGGTTGTTGTTGTTGCCAGAGCCCTATTAATAGCCTCTTTAACTATCTGGTGAGAAAAATGTGGGCTTCTAATTTCTTGCCTCCCTTACTCTTTGTTTGCCAATTTCCATGTAACATCTCTTCTGTATTTTGCAGTGAGGATGACGCAAAGCTGGGCGCTCGCAGGTTAGCCCGTGTTCTGCAGAAACTGGGCTTCAGGGTGAGCATAACCTTTGTATCATAACAAAAAGCACTTTATTATGTTTGAAAAACAGGCATAACTATGAATGTCAATCCGAATGTGAAGCGTATTGTAACATGTTTGCATTTTAGACTGTCGAGTTAAGGTTCAAGCCTCTGTTAAAAAGGGTTATAAGAAAAACATGTGATTTCTCAGGGGAGTTTTCTTTTCTTTATACAATCCTGGACTTATTGACTCAGCAAGAGTCAATACGTTTCAAGAAGGCTCTGCTGTTAATGCAGTTCTTTAATCAAACAAAAATACTGACAGTTTAAATGATTACATTTCTTGTGAATTCTCATTTGGTTTAGACAGGTCACCTCTCACCAGATCAGATTACTTGCCGGTTATCGGTGGATTACATTTGCATATATTTCTGGAATAACTGGAGTGTGTGTGGGGGCTGATTTATAGGAATTATTGCACTAAGGCCATGAGACCAACATTAAAAGACAAGAGTTCTTCTTGTACATGTGAAAGCATCTACGTATAAATACATGCATATGAGTGACTGCATGTGTATGTTTTTCTACACAGGTGAGGTTTTCAGCCTTCAAAGTGGTGAATGTTCTGGCAGTGTGCTCCATGCCCTTTTCGATCGCCCTTATAGACTTTACAATGAACAACCGACCCATTGCCAGGTAATACAGTACTATGCATTACAACTAATATCACCACACTGATTACAATCATAACTGTTATCCAGATTTGTCTTAGCAGTGCTATAAATATATATAACATAGTACCTATGGTTTCTCCTGTCAGTCCAGAATTATATTGTTTGTCAGTTATTTTTTATGAAATGTAATTACATTTATTTCAATTTTTTTGCCAGAGGCACCTCAGTACATGTATTTTTGAGTAAATAGCCCTGTTTAAAATGTTTTTTTACCTTAGTGTTTAATTATTTGGAAGGGCAGGATGACCTCTAGTGGTGTGAGCACTGTTCAGCATTTCAGTATGCATTTGGCACCAGCATCAGAGAAAAGATGTGTATGTGTAAACAGCTTCTGATTCACAAAGCTGTATATGTACTTGGATAGGTACACAGATATAGATTGTAAAATAAGAACATGGTGTATTCTTTTATTTTTTTGAAATAGTTTTGTCCCAAAAATTAAATGAATTAACCTTCTGTGTCCCTGTAATGCTGCATGCTAGGGGAGAATACTGTATTTTGGATGAATAACCTCAATTATGATTTTGTTTTTTATTGAAGGTCATGGTTGATTCATCAAGATTTTTTAGATGACTTACCTTGTGCTTGTTTGTGTTTGTCAGTTATGAACCGGAGCTCCATCCTGCTGCCACCTACAGGATCAAACATATTAAAGCTACCGTCCAGGTGTTCTCGACTGGCAGCATCACAGTTACAGGTACCTCTCGCTACATGCACATATGTGTGACAGTTGACCGTTACCATACTGTGTTCATTTCCTTATCTACAGTATTCAAATAAACTCACTGTAGTTTATTTTTCCTGCTATACTGCTGGCAACATGTCAACTAATTTGCTTCAGGTTTAAAACTATGTCTATCTTTATTCTTCTATTCTCATTACTTTAACGGTCTTAGTAACTGATAATTATACTAGTAATAATTATTAAATAGTAAAAGTGCAATGCTGTACACCGTTACATTTCTTATAGGGTACTGTGCCCTGAGTCTCATCCTCAGCTAGGGGGCGCAGCAGCTGAAGGGATTGAGGTCACATTTTTGTTATGCACTTTTATAGTCTGTCACAACCAGAAACGCGGTTTTGTATAACCTAATTCCTCAAGGAATTTTACTCTGGGTGAAATAATTTAGGACGTTTAATGGTGCTAATGGTATATGTGACTTCAATTTCTTCTGAGTTTTTGGCTTCTTTCTGTCTTTTAATTGTACTAAAACCTTATTGTTATGTTCTCATCCTACCCCCACTCCATCCCCATCTATCCCATTGTCCAGGACCAAATGTGCAGACTGTGGCCACAGCTGTTGAGCAGGTGTACCCACTACTGTTCGAGTGTAGGAAACCCCTCCGCAAATAGAAGAAACGTGTCAAAGACAGAGGGATTGAAGGAAAGAGAAGACACGTCTGATTTGTCAGTGAGGAAGCACCTTATCCTTGGGTTTGATTTGCTTGGATTTACCGCTACGTGTCCACAAACTTCTAACACAACAGACTGGAAGTCACCTGGATTTGAACTTTTAACAACTTCCCTCTCACAAGTGTCTCTGTTGTTGTGGATTCTGTGGCTATTGTGATTTTAACCGCCTAGACTTACAAGTTTGTCTTTCAAACATCACCTTCTTCAGTGGAAACTGCTCTTCCAGACCTGCCTGACATTGAAATGATTCACTCATGTTCCTCATTTGCTCTGGGTGGACACAGAAAGACCCGTTTTTAACAGTCTAACCATTTTAACGCTGAACTGTTGTGACCATTGCATCGGGTCAGTAGGTCTACACTGAGAAGCCTCACCTTTAACTCTACATACAAGATGTCGTCCCATGTGCCAGTTTTTCTAAAATAATCTCCGTCCATGGCGTGTTAACACAAACACAAGGCATCCTCTGTATTATCCATATTTCTGCCCAATAAGAAAAACATGGAGTCTGGACTGAGGCTGCAGTTCTTTATGCAGATGCACATATCTGCTCACAGAAAGCATTAATCTCTCAATTAACTTGTTGCTTTTAATTTGTTTATTACTTGGTTTGGTTATCAGTTACTATAAATCCATTCTTCATTCTTAACTGGTACTGGATCAGAATTCACAGAAGTTGTGATTTCATTTCTTGTCATTTCCTAATAATAGATTTAAACAAGGCAAATATACAAAACAACAACTTTGAAAGGGTATGTTTTAATTGTGTCTGTCCCCATAGACCCCTAACTCATTTGTACTAAACAGAACTTCTGGTTAGTCCCAGGTCATTGTTGCTGACACAAGGGAAGGAATAGTTATGAAACACCGTCCATAGTTAGTCTTTGAAATTGCTTGAGGCACAGACTAGAGTAACAGAAACTCTTTAAAAAAATCGAGTGTCATTTTTAAGTAAAGAACTCATAATCTCAACAGCAGCCGTTCCATTTCAGTGTTCAAAGAGGCAATGACAACGATGTTAGCCAGTCCCAGAAAAATCAAATCCTACACATATTCTCATTCTCCTGAACAACAGAAAGTGTTTTTAATTGGGACAACCTAATGTCAGGCAACAGATGTATGTATATAATAGAGGCATCTGATGAAAAGATGTCGATATAGCCGTTGACATGTCGTCTTAAGTGTGTGCGATGGACTTTTTGAACTAGTGTCGACTGAAAGTTTGTGACACTTGTTCAGAATTTTGTATTTTGTATAAAAATAAAGGATCAACAATTAAAACTACACTTCACTTTGTATCATTTACTCTCTTTGTGTACATGCATGTGATTACAGCTGGAGTGAAGCACTGAATAACTCATGGTTATCCAAGATTTTCAGTGTGTCCGATTACAAACACATTCCTACAGGAGAAAAAGATAAGGAGCTGTATCAAAGTGCACACTTTGATGTTAAACATCCCACTTGTTAATCATCTAAGTTTAATTTTGGCAATAATACTACCATACCTGATGAGTTTAGTATTTGTTCAGCAGACAGGCATACAGTAAAAGGGAACTTGTTGAGTCATCATTTTCTTGATTGCTTAATCCCATACAAAAAGAGGCGGCACCGGGCTCTAGTGTTGTTACATTACATGACAGAGCAGCACATAAATAATGCATTATGCATTAATTTGCAATTCAAAGAATGTTACAAACAGACATTTCAAGTTATTAGTGTTTGATAGTTTAGTACATCTTTGATTTCCCTAATCAAGACCGAGACATTCTTTTGTCTAAACTAAAAACCTGTAGTCGAACAGTTTGAGTGGGTTTTCTTTCATTTCTGCCTTATTGGAACTGTATTCTTAAAGTGGACCTATCATGCTATATTTGAATAATATAGTGTAGGACCATACCCATATAAGGCATATTTATACTTTTTTTTTTTCAAAATACCAAACATCATGCATTTTAGCCATGCCTCATTTTGCTCAATTTGACATTTTTTAGCTCTGTTTTTGTAAGGGAAGATAAGGGCAGAACAGCACCACCTACAGGCCTGGCATATGTACTACAGCGTCTCCAGCGCTTTCGAACGGCAATGGCCATGGCTGTCTCCTCCTGATTGGTGGAGTTGGCCCAATAGCCGTAGTGCCACCGTCCTGACGTCGGGACAGTGTTCAAATCTGGATCAGTTTTTATCAGATCCGTTGCAGCCCCTTTTTTAGAGATTTGGGTATGGAGGAAAATAGAGAGGGTTGTGTTTTCTGACACTTGGTGAGTTCCCTGGAACACCGGGGACACATATTCATGTATAAAAGACGTACAAAAGTGCATTTTGCATGATAGGTCCCCTTTAAGGTAATACTTTACCCCCAATATGACGGTTGTATATATGTTCACCCTTGAATTATTGAGACATTGGAAAAACATGTTCTCCAAGAATTCAAGGTTTATATGGAAGTCATTATGTTGGGGTTGAATTGGTAGGTAATACAAGAAAGGCATTTTTTACAAAGAAATTCAATTCATCCCCAAAGTGTATCTTTACTTCCTGAAGTGAGACCTGAGTTCTACTAATGTAATCAAACCTTCATCATTTAAAAATGTCCTGAAAATACAATTTCCATCACCTTCCTGTTGTTCGTCCTTCTCGTGCAGCACGTAGCAACAAGGATATGAGTTTGCCATCAATACAGGATCTGCAGCGATGTACGAGTTCAAGCCCAATCAGACGTTTGCTGGAGTCTCTGTGGACGTAGTGCTGCGGTTCAGACTCTTCTGAGGCTGAACCTGCCTGCAGAGCCTCCCCTCAAAATGTTTCCTGGGAAAGCAGAGAAGGAAGATAAAGCAATCTACTTAGAAAACGACTTGACACCTTGATAACATTAAGCTCATCAGCAAACTCCCACTCACTCCTTAGCCAGTTCTTTTGATATCTCCTCCAGCGTGCGACCCTTGGTCTCATGGATACAGAAGATGATGAAGACCAGCAGAACAAAGCTCATAACAGCGTACAGGAACATCACATTGGGGAGACCAAACTTTTCTAGGGAAACAAAAGGGAAAGAACACATCATCCTCAAATGTCCACACAATACCTTAGATAGCATGCTTGTTTGTTTTACTTGTTATGTATTTCCCTCCTTGCTCGAATGCATTCTTGGCTCGATGCCGGCTTTTTCGTTGCACCACAGAGTTGCTACTATGATAATTGTTCTACAGTTTAAATGACTAACTCTGCTTCATTTTGTGATGACATTGTCCTTAAAAGACATCATTGAAGAAGAATTTCCACAAAGTGACACTGATTTGCAGTGGCTGCCAAACCCTTAAAAAACTGTGCATATAAAAGATTCCTGATTTGAATATTGAGAAGTTATTTAAATTGTCTTCCGGTTTTTCCTGGTCCTGATATATCGTGTTTCCAGCAGTGAGAACAGGGTGAGGCACACTTAAACCTGTTTTACTTTGTTTGCTGGTTGTTTTAACCATTACTATAAACGTTCATCTTTGTTTGCCTGTCCTGGACAAAAGACAAAAATACAATGTGATCAAGGTTAAATCGTTGGTTCACTTGCAGTTCTTTTTTGCAAAAGAGAACCTGATCTACTACAGAATACTTGCCCCAGTTGCATAGACAAGATCAGGAAAATTGTAGATGTACCACATGAACTTGAACCTACAATGATAACCAATAACACACACACACACACTAGGGCTGGGCGATTATGGCAAAAATCATAATCACGATTATTTTGGTCAATAATTGATATCACGATTATTAAATACGATTATTCATTGACTTTAAAACAAATACAAATAATAATTTGAACAGTATCTTTTTAACCGTTGATTACCCTGAACGTATAATTCAACTGAAAAACCAATACAAAAATAAATTAAATAAATGATACATTTATATTTACATTTAAATAAATAATATCAAAAATAATAAATACCAATAAACAAGATCAACAAATATTTTGGAGCGCACTCCAACAAGCTACTAAACATATGTAAATATGATAAATACAAATAAATTAGACTAAAATAAATTAGATCAAATATGTTGCAGTGCACTGTCACAACCTAGCAAAGCAAAATAATTGCTTTATTCGATTATGTTGTTTTCGTAATTGTGGCAGGCCAAAATCGTAATTGCGATTAAAATACGATTAATTGCACAGCCCTAACACACACACACACCTGTAAATGTGAGGAAGGTCATGGAGATGAGCAGGTTAGTGGCCCAGTTCACAGCCGACACCACAGACACAGCTCTACCTCGTACTCCCATCGGAAAGATCTCACTGAGAACCACATACACCACTGGAAGGGAAAGAAACAAATACGCAAGAGGCCATGGTTAATAACGCAATAATACAAATAACAAAATGTTGTACTTAACCGTACAACGTGTTATAAGCTGCTGCCATTCTCTGAACTGTGCCAGTCAGTGCATATGGTTAGCTGCAGTATTTTATTGCAGATAAAATGCACTTCTTTGCACTCTCCTATTGGTTAACAACAAGTATTACAAGTTTGGAATGATGCTACAGCTTTTGGTACGCCCAAGGAGTGGGTAAATAAAAAAAACTGGTGCTTACTTGGCCCCAGGCTAATGGAGAAGGCTGCCACGAACACCAGCAAGCTGATCAATGAGGCCCACTTCATAAAGGAGGACACTTCCGCAGGAGTCCTTCCTGACTCCCTATTCCCATCGTCCTCTCTTTTAGTCCACTGTGCCTCCTCACTATCCCATTGGCTGGGGAGGCCAGTAGCTAAAATGGCACTGTTGCCAAAGTCTATAGAGGATCCGTTTAAATCCCATGGCGTATGTGTGTGGTTTGGTATGGTGTGACTTTTACACAGGCTGGTGAGATGGGTGTGGCTTTGCAGTGTCAATGTGCCGAGGGCCAGTAGCGACACTCCCATTCCGACGGCACCAACGCACAAAAAGTTCTTGGTTCCCACGCGGTCGACCAGCAACACCGCTGGGATGGTGCCAACTACTTTGACCACTCCGAACCCTGTGGAGGCCAAGGTCGCTGCGGCGTCGCTGTTGAAGCCCATGCTGCGGAGGAGCGGTGAGGCGTAGGAGAGGATGTTGGGTTGACCTGTAGCCTGCTGAAGGAAGACTAAAGCCACGCCAGTTAGCAGCCGTGAGCGCAGGTTAGCTTTGCTACTGAACAGCTCCCAGAAACTGTGCTCTGATTCCTCTTTAAGTCCTGCCAGGATGTCTCTGAGCTCCTTTTCCACATGCTCCTGGACCCCACCTCTCATTCGGGCCAGCACCATCCTGGCCTGCTCCACTTTACCCCGGGTGACCAGGAAGCGTGGGCTGGCTGGGAGGAACACAAGGACACTGATCTGCAGCAGCGCGGGGGGGATTACTAGTCCAAATGTATACGCCCAGCCATGCGGCACAGTAGAGAAGACGTAGCTACAGCCAAATCCCAGCATTACACCCACAACCAGCATCAGTTCGTACAGCGTGACCAGCAGACCCCTCCTCTCCATGGGTGAGATCTCTGCGATGTACAGGCACGCTCCTGTCCCAGACAGAGCTGTACCCATGCCGACTATCACCCGGCCCAGGGTGAAGAAAACCAGTGTGTTGAACGCGATGAGCATGACAGTCCCTCCGACCACCAGGGCGGCGCTCAGGAGCAAAGAGAAGCGGCGGCCGTAGCGGTCCAGAAGAGGACCTCCAGCCAGGGACATGAGCAGAGCGCCGAGCAGGTGGGAGCTGACCAGCAGTTCCTGTTCCCTGCAGGAGAGGGAGAGGAGTTCCCGCAGCTGAAGCAGGACCCCCGAGGTCAGCCCCATTTCATACCCCAGCATCAGGCCGCTCAGAGAGGCCGCCAGAGCCGCTACCACCACCAGCCAGCTGCAGCCTGGAGAGAAGACAGAAGACAGAAACACAGAGAGAGAGTGAGAGGAAATACCTTCCCAACAAGGTCTCAATGTGCATCCTCGAGATCTCACAGATGTTGCTGCTTTTTCCAAAAAGAGATACAAACAAGTTAGCTGGTTCAAAGAAGACATTACTTTGTAATAGGGGCTTTGCAATATACTGTAAGATAAAATAAGAGAAGATCCCATGTAGGGATATTCAGTTTTGACGTTAACCGTGATATTTAAAAATGCAATTTTAAATTGTGTATCTTTTTTTTTTTTACAAGTTTATCTGATAACCTTTTTTTTACCCATTACTGTACAGCTTGGTTTAAAGAAGTGGTTCTCAACTGGTCAGGCCTCGGGATCCACTTTTTCCTTTGTCAATAAATCGTGACCCAAAATATTGAACCACTCAAATCTATTCAACAAAAAATTGTGCTGTAATATATACGCTTTTCAGCATACAATATTAATTAAAGTGAAGTACAGTGCATATATCCCTTATATCCCAGAACTAATGTATGCTTTTAAATAAGGTTTAATGAGATGATGGAATCAAAGCTGAACTGTATAACACAAAAAGGCACACATGCTGAAAACCCAACCCCAGCAGGGGGTCTGGGGGGGATTCTCCCCCAGGAGATTTTTAGAAATACTAACAAAACTACACATTCTGGTACACTCTGAGAAGAAAATAAATAAATCTATTACTACCCGACATATTAATAATATGTTATGCCATTGTTTGTTTTTCACTTTGTTCTGACAGCTGAACTTGCTGCTCCACACAGAGAGAAGAGCAAAGAGGAGATAGTCTGTGGGACTTCCTTTAAATTGTGGGTAAGGGTAGATAGCCCCCATTGTTCTGTGACCTGTCAATCATCAAACCGGGGGTCATATTTCATTATGTGTTCATTTTTATCTGAAGTTGTACCCATGGATGTATAAAGAATAGTTCTACCGCAGAGTTATTCTCCGTGGGGACTTCCGGCAACAATCTTGATTCTGATTGGCCAGAAGACTCGAAAAAACATGTTGTTGTACTCCCAGTCCAACGCCTACTGCATGCACAGCGTTAGACAATCGGGCCTTCAAAAGAAAAGTTTGACTTATTTCCCAAAAAAAAAAAACTCACACATCTGCGACCCACAGTTGAGAACCACTGGTTTAAAGTGTCTATATCCTCCTCCCCACACTCCTATTTTGAGTGTAATTATTTTACAAAAAGGAGACAAAACCCAAAATAGACAAGATTACCTTGACTGAAAGCACAACACACATCTTCAATTAATATCGCGATAACATTATTAATGTGAATTATTGCCAATCGATAAACGTTAAACTCTGTTGTCGTAGTAATAAAAGGAAATTATATATTGAATGTGCACAACTTTAGGTACATTAGATGTGGCCTAAACAGGTACACTGCCCCAGGTAATATGCATTCATTAAGTGCTCTCCCATTCCTCGGCAGCTTTTAGAGCCCTAACCTGTTCTGAGCAATCAGCTGATTTTATCCTACGGTTGTATAGGATAATGACTCAGGGTGGATGTTGGCATTTTTCCAAAGAAAAATAACCTTAAAGCATATTGACACACCACAGACAAATATCTGGATAATTTGTTTGCCTTGTCGTTTGTAAATCAAGTGAATACATATTTGCCTCCAGTATACTTTTAACATTTTAATTCCTTCCAAGTTAAACATTTGTCAAACTCATTCTTTGGCAGCAAATTGGTGAGAGGAATTATTATGGTAGGGTCGTTGTGTAATGTAGCAGACCATACACTACGACCTCCTTGGAGTAAGGTCAACAAGACAACCATTTGTTTCTTCTGGAGATCAAAGGTGCACTGGTTTTACGATCGGTTGAATTTTAAAGGAAATTACATAAAGTAAGAATAAAATATATCCATAGTGACTGTATGTACTTAACATCATGATGTAAGGGAGCAGAAAAATAAAACACATACTAGTGTTTGTAATATTAATATCATGCCATAACTATCGGCATTGTCACAGCTTTTCTTCTTGTAGGATTCCCCGAACCATCAAGACACTTTACAAGCTCTGACAGTGTGGAACAGGAGGTCAGAAGTTCAGAAGAATGCTGAAGCAATCTTGTAAGTCATTGTGTTTGTGTGTGAGTGAGTGTGTGTGTGTGTGTGTGAGGGGTTAAAGCCTATCTGCGCTGTCTTGCGCGTACCACTGTGAGCTGTCACACATTTGTTATCAAAAGAGAGATAGGAAAGAAAAATCTGGAAGAATCAAAACTGATCAGCTCAGCAAATAGATATATATCCAATTGACATATGCACCTTTAAACTTGTGAGCTAAAAACAGTAATACGCATGACCTTTTTTTGTATATTTATAGGGAACAGTCATAAAGTTCTATCATTATTTCTGATGACATGAATTGACCCTGTAACAGCTTTTAACTAAGGAGACTGCACCTGAGGTATTTAAACCTGAAAGATCTGTTTTCATAGTAGGCTGAAGACTTTAATGCCAAGGTATTTAACTTTCCTAATAATCATGCCAGTCAGGCCTTTTTCTTTTTAATCTAATATAATTCCCACGGTGCAACATGCAAGAACAACAGAGACGCAGCTGCAAACTGCAGGATCTACAAGTCATCTGCTCTGACTGTTGCACTGCATACCATCTGTCAATCCTTTTCTATAACAGACTTTATATCATAATGGGATTACAATATTTAATATGTTAGACTGTTCTCTCCTGTAATGAGACTTATGGCTGTAAACGCTTGTTGTCACATTCCTATTACACTTCCTGAACAATTTAGAATAAGAGCAATATAAATGTATTTAGATAGAATACTACTTTAGTAATTAACTTGTTTTGCTATATTTGAACCTGTCTTTAGTCACAAAATAACTGGCTTGTTGTAATGCGTCGTAATACATTTTAACATATTTTACACCTATTTAATGCAGAAATGTGAATTTCTTTTTGTCTTCCAAAGACCTGTGTTTCACTCTATTATCCATAGAGAAGTATGTATTCTTAACTTCTAAGCGCAGCACGGTGCAGCATCGCTCTCCAGGAAGAATCATTGGTAAAGAAGTGGGTCATTTCAAGGTTCAAGGTTCTTTATTGTCAATCTGACATAGCTACAGAGTAATTATGCAGTTGAAAATCTTATGTCACAGGCTTCTCCAACAATGCAACATAATAACATAACATAAGAATTAACTGAGTTTAGGGTTTAAGCAACCAAAGTTAGAGTGACCTGGGCATAATAAAAGTCATAAATTACTTTTGGTGTCTTCGTTAATCAGTTTTTAAAAGCTACTGGGAAGATGTTAAAAGTGCCAATATATTTTATATTAATCTGTTGTTGTAATAATCAGGTTTACTGATTCACCAGATAACTTTGAAAGTTATCTAGAAAATTCAACTAAACTGCTTCTTGGAAGAGGCACCTAGTTAACATTTAACAAATATTGCTTTCTGGTGTAACCAAATGTGGTATTATAATAAAGTGGTAGAGAGGTAGTGCAAGCTGTAGGGAGGAGCCCTTTTGGACATGGTGTTGAAGGTACACCATAAACAATTCCAAATTAGCCTCTAAAAAAACATTCACATAACAAACAATCGTTTTTCTATCTTCATAAAGTGTAATTGCCATTTGTGCGTACCTGGGCCTTTTGGAGGGGTCTGTTCCTGCGCCTCAGGCGAGGGGTCGCCTGGGAGTAGGGAGGTAATCTTCTTGGTCTCACTTTTGGGGTCCATCATTAACCTCTAACATTAGGCCTAGGTAGAGCAGATACAGACCATCAGACAAAGAAACATTCAAAAACTTCACAGAAATTATTGTTTAAAAATGGCATAACTTTGTTTGTTTTTAGCAACAACTGTTTAATCAAAAATATGTTTCAACCCAGTGATGCAATTTAATATATTTTAACTATTCTTTTGTTGTGTGCTATATACTTACCAAGTATGGCAATATGAAAGAAAAATACAAATAAATGGATACAAATAAATACCAGCTCTCAATGGACAGTTGCTTTAGATTGTGAAATAGAGTTGTTCAATGAGTGAATTCGACAGTACTTCCAAAAACTGTAGCTATAAGGTGTTAAACCCAGATCCTGTCAAGCTGCTAGTAAGCTTTAAGTTCTTCTTAAGTTTGTTTTTGTGTTGCCCTTCTTTGGCATATGGTAATGGTTTGGGACCTTTGTTTTTCCTACTGATGTAGTCGCATCCTATTGGTGTTCTCGCCTTGAGCAAAAGTGTTGCAAGGTCATTTTGTGGAGGCCAGTAAACCAAGACCACAGGGGGAAACACAACGTTTTTACAGCTAACAATAAAGTAAACTGGACTCAAACCCAATGACTTCGAGTTTGGGCTTGTCCACAATTAACGTGCAACTTTGCGGGTGTCGAATGTCGATGCCTAAAAAGTTCAGTAAACACTTTTTGCCTCTATATGCAGTACTACCTTCCTCACCTGACGACCCAGCGGTGTCTCTGTTGTCAGCTTATTTCCCCGTTTATCGGTCCATTCGCTTTCTTCTCCAGACTTTATGACTTTGACCCGGCTCGCAACTCTCTCTCTCTCTTGTCGGTGCACGCACGAAAGTTGTTTTGGTTAAGCACTTGTTTAGCTCCGCCCTTGTCGGCCCAGAAATTGGTCGGACCAATAGAAAACTTGGATTTGTCCTTGGTAGTGCCTACACACTATATCACATTTTTTATGAAACAATATATTATTTTAGGCTTATATTTATCTATTGTGGTAGGGTATAAGGAGCTACAAAGGAGCTTATCCTATGCTGTTTTGTTACGCTTCCAGCTGCTTTTTTTTGTATTGCTGTGATCACTATAATATAACCACCATAAAATACACCTGTATCAATAATGGTCTTTCTCTCATACTGTATGTGAAAACACATGGGGTGGCCTCCTGCTGGTTTTTGCTTGGTTCCCATGTCCTGTTTCTATGAATGCTGCAGGACTGAGCTGTCCAACCTGCCCTCCTGCTCCACAGATGACAGAATGTAGCCTTACTGCATGTTCCAGTAACACCCTGTTAGGGCATGGCTTTCTTGAGATGTATTTTAGATGTTCGGACATCGCCTATAGAATTCAAAGTTTGACCTGTTTTTAACCACTGTCATTTGATCCTCACTTAAGTTAAAGAGTGTATGTGCATGTGTTATGTAAGTACTCAGTAACCAAGATAACCATGTATGTCCTACTTGTTGGAGAGTGGCCCTATGTCAGAAAGAAATGATGACATTGTTTTGGCTTTTGCAGTTAGTTAAAGCAATTAATAGTAGTTGCAATTGGCATATAATTGAATATCAGTGGATGTACAATTTAATGTCCTGAAGTCAAATGTAATTTACCGAAAGTGGCAGAGAACTAGAATTAGAAAAGAGAGATTTATGTATTTAGATTTGAAGTTAAATCACAAGTAAGTCAGGTGAGGACATGCCCATAGCCATTGGTCTAAAATGCATCATGACATGTGATCAAGGTCATCACTGGCATGTCAACTTTCCCCAACAAGCCTTTCCTGGAACCTTATAAGAATATTACTTAATTGCACCCATATGGCACATAGCCAACATAGAAACTATAGAGTTGTCATGTGTTAAGTTAAATATGCCCACTTCCTCAGAATAGTGAATTAAATGTGAAGCTCCTGAGAATAGGGTGGTGCTTTAATGTGAGTTGCTTTGCATGCTAACTTATTTAATCAATTGTCATTTGACCTAGCTCCAACACGTAGCAGCAATGAATTACAAACAATATAAGCTTCAAAGTATTTGAAAATGCGGAAATTACACATAAAAGTTTCCAATTACAGTAAATAATGCCCTTTTCATCATACCTATATTTAATGAGTGTGTCGACCATCTGTATATTGGTGTTTCCAGCAGAATTTGTCAAATAAAAATAGTATCTGAAACTGTGACATATATAGCGAAATACTTTCCTCTGTTCTTGTGTTACCGTACATTGCGCAGTGCAGTATCAATCAATCAATTAATCAATCAATCAATCAATCAAAGTGTATTTATATAGCCAAATTTCACAACTTTACATTTGTCTCAGGGGACAGTATATGAACACGAATACAACACCCTCTGTCCTTAGACCCTTATCCCTCTCCCAGGACAGACAGACATGCAATAGATGCTGTGTGTAAATTCACAAGATAATACATTCACAACATAGGTATAGAGGCTGTGGCTCAGTGAGATAGTGCGCTGAACTTAGTGTGCTGAACTTTGAATCAGGGGATAGCAAGTTCGAGTCCCACTGCAGTCAGCATGTCGTTGTGTCCCTGGGCAAGACACTTCACCCCAAATTGCTCATGTGGGGATTGTCCACAGTACAGAATGTATGTAAGTCGCTTTGGATAAAAGTGTCTAACAAGTGACATGTAATGTAGTCCAAATAATTGAAAAATGCATAGGTCGTCTATATAAGAAGAAGATGAAGATGGATCCAGGTGGATGTCAACCTCTGGGTGCCATCAAATAATTGTAAGGTGTACAGCGACTGGCACAGCCACGACTCAGGATCCACGACTCAAGACACAGTAATATTCAAACCTGGAACCTGATTCAGTGGCAGAACAATAACATTTTGCAAGGTATTTATTTATATTTATTAAATATAGCCTTCTCTTACTCGCACATAGTGTTTAGCTTATTAACTCCTATCACACTAAAGAATCACTTAATGAATTATACAGTTTATTTTATATTTTTTTCTTTTATGTAGGTAATTATTCAGTGTTTGAATGACAGTGTGGCCTTCGGGACTGACTTTTTGACTTTTTCTGACGATTTTCAGATATTAGAGTGAGAGCGTGGCAGCTCCATCGCCTAGAGCTCCATAGCCGAGAAGTCCATCGGCAAGAGTGCAACCTCCATTGCTGAGAGTTTGGAAGCTCAATTGCTGAGAGCTCCATCGCTGGGAGCTCATTCCACGAGAGCTTCATCACCGAGAGCTCCATCGAAGAAAGCTCCATGATGGGAGTGCGGCAGCTCCATCACCAACTGCTCCATCGCCGAGAGCTCCATTGACGAGAGCTCCATTGACAAAAGCCCTATCAACGAGAGCTCGATCGCGAAGAACAATTATGTCATAGTCAATCATAATATAGTATATCATAAAATACTATACAAGATAAAGTATGTAAAAAAAATATATAATAAAATGACATGGAATAGTAACAAAAAGTATTTAAAAGTCAAAGTAAAGTTGGTATTCCTATAAAATCTCATAATATAGCATGTCATTGTATCAGAAAATGTAAGAGTGCTGGAGTGTCAGATGCATGCATCATGAAGGCAATTGCCACTCCTTTATGATGGCAACCAGCACTGACATCCTTAGGCCTGTGTTAGAGACTGTGTTAGAGACTGGGTGATTTGGGTTGGAGACTGACTCTGAGATAATGTGGTTGTCTATCAATAAGAAGGTCCTTGGTTTTATACCACAACATGTCAGTGTATTATTGGGCAAGATACTTAATGTCAAGTTGAACCAATGGCATGGCATGTGTGACTTTTTGTGAGCAGACGGCTGCCTCTATGTCTGTGTGAATGCTGACTTGTATCGGTAAAAGCACTTTGAGGGGTGTTAAAGACTCTGAAAGCGCTATTTAAATACTGTCTATTTCCTGAAAAATAGATTTTAATCTCAACGAGACTTTTACCTGGTTAAATAAAGGATATAATATATATATATATTTACCATTTAACAGAGAAATCATGGGACAAAGGATATTCTTTGGCTGTTGTAGAAGTAGTGTCATTTGAAAGATGTAAATGTATTGATGACATGCCACTGTTTACATTCTCTTATCCTTGTCATCCTTATCTTTTCCTCTCTTGCTTGATCTTATAGGCAAAGTAATTGCAAACAACTCATCATACAGCTAGATACGCTTGCTGCTGTGAGTACACGTCTTTATTGTTTTCTTCATCATGTTGTCAACAATTATAAATCAAATTATGAATATAATTTTGATTCAGTTGAGCCATTCTTTTGATTAAATCATTTTTTCAGAAAAACAACATAGTATATTATGTCGAAAATATCAAAATGATTACATGGTATGGTATGACGAAAAATAATTCAGAGAATAGTATGTCCAAAAATATCAGAAAAATATCGCAGTAAAGGATGTCCAAAAATGTCAGAAATACCACATAGGTCCAAAAATATCAGAAAAACGTCATGGAATATGTAGGAAAAAAAGTCATATTATATTGGAAATAATTAATAATATAGTATGTCAAAAAAATAATAGTATAGTATTTCTAAAAATATCAGGAAAATGTCATAGTAAATAATAGTGTGTTGATCGTAATTGTATAGTATGTTGAAAAAAACCTTATATTATAGTATGTTGATGTTGATAAATGTTATAGTACACTTATTTGTAAATGATAAAAAAAATTCAAAATATAGTATGTCCAAGAAAAGTTATAGTAACTTATGTCAACAAATATCAGAATAACTTTTTTAGGTCATACATATGTTTTCGGATAAAATAAAAAAAATTATTTTTAGAAATTAAACAAATATTTATGCGAGTTTCCTTACTATTTCATAGTTAATCAAATCAAAGGGTTGCAAACAAACTCAAGCATGGTGTGTGTAATGCCAAATGTATTGTCTGAAAGTATGTGAAACTGCTACTAGTGCTTTAAGACTCAGTTTAAGACTTGGCCAGAAGATGGCAGTGCATGATTACTGCTGCTGGGCAGATCTGGAAATATCATGCAGCCCAACAAAAGCCTTCCTCTGGACAGAGATTATAAAGCACACATGAGCTGAAAATCAGTCACACAGTCCTTTGATGAAATACTAATTATTTCAAATGTGACGCATTTTCTATACATGTTTCAGCTTTTATTTTTGTTGTCATTTTGAATGAGTTGCCTTTATTATTGGAGTTAATCAGCAATAAGCAACTCTGTTCACCGCTTCCTATGATAAGATCGATGGTCAAAATGAGGAAGATGATCATTGGAGGAAATAGTTTGACAAGAATGTAACAGGAAATACAAAGGAGTGGAAAGTAATGATTTGAACAGTCTGTAAGATCAGATAAGATAGATGCAGGCTTTGTGTAGATCATCATGTTAGATAGAAAAATAGCAGCTCTGAAAGATGTTATCAGGTTTTCTCCTATTCTGTAGAACATTGCAATTATGTAATGCCTTCAAAAAACGATGTAAAGATATTTCTCCTGATTTGTGTGATCATTTTGAACTATAATCAACCTTAGCTTTAACATTTAAAGCATGTTCAAGGTTCAAGGTTCAAGGTTCTTTATTGTCAAACTGACATAGCTACAGAGTAATTATGTTGTTGAAAATCTTATGTCACAGGCTGTTAATAGACAGGCAATGTTAAAGGGACACTTGTATTAGTTTCAACTGAGACCTTCCCAACAGTCCTCTTCCAATGTTAATCTGTAAAGTGAAATTCATTTTCCACTTTCCCTCCATCCCAGGAAGTTAGAGGTCAGAGGTCACCTGCACAATAACCCCCTAGATCTGATTCAGTGTCATCTTAAAAGACACCC